TTGTCCTGTGTCATGGAGGTCCTGCTGTTTTGGATCTGTAGGTTTGTCCCCTTCACATGCTCTAACAGATAGGTGGGTGCTGGACTGGGCCAACTAACTCATAGCTGGTTCTGGGCCTGAGCGGTAGCTGGTTCGGTCAGCCTGCCAGTGTTCCTTCATGGTCACTACTCAGGCAAGCTCTCCAGCACTGCCCAGGCTAGCTCATCAATGCAAGCTCATCAGTGCTGATTTGGCATGGAGCGGGGCCACCCACACTCACACCACCAGGACATGCTGTACTGATTTCCCCAAGGGAGGTGTAGGGCCCTCGCTCCCGGTTACTCTAGGGGACATATGGGGTCTGGCAGGGTCAGCTCTCATGCCCTTAGGGCTGGCTGATCTGCACACTTGACTAGAACCCTTTCTTATAGAAAGGGATTTCACAGAGTTTCATGAATACAAATGATTTCATTTTGGTGCCCAAGCAATGCTGATATTCCCCCACGTTTTATCTTTCCGAGACAAGGTTCCTCTGTGTAGCCCTGGCTGTCCTGGAACTCACTCTGCAGACCAGGCTGCCCTTGAACTCACAGAGATCCACCTACTTCTGCCTCCCGAGTGCTGGGATTAAAGGTGTGCTCCACCACAAAATGTTACCTGTTAAGTTAATGAATGCCAAGGAAAGTAAAAGGAACAGAGGCAGGAAGTCAGTTGTTTTCCAAATGTGCTTTACTTACAGATCAGCACAAGTTCATAGAAAAGATGATTTAGTAATTGGTTCCTTTCTGTTTGGACAAATATAGTATTTTATGCCTGTTTTTCTAAGCATAGTTAACTAGCACTGAAATATTTGAGGATGAAGCACTGTCAAGAACAGAGGTCTGTTCTCAGGGGTAAAATAAGACAGTCGGCTATTGTGCAAACCCACAATGGATGGCAAGTGACTTAGAAGAGTTGCGTTTGGTGTAAAAACGGGTCTGCACTGCCTCTCCTCAGCCCCATTCCACAGCACTGCTGCTGCGGCCCACTGGCCCTCAAAGAGTGCTTTGTTCCCATCCATTTCCTTGACTTCCAGTGAGGCAGTGATGTCTTGCTCTGCCCCATTGGCCTCTGATATTTCTGAATGCAGATGCTGCTGTGAGTGAAGAACAGAGCTGTGGTCCCTCCTCCTTCCTCTCAGTGCCTCCCATCAGTGTAAAAAACTCAGGACTGTTTGTGTTCCTTTCCCAGGGGGACTGTATTTCTGTAAGTTACTGGAACATTTCTCTTCCACTCTTCCCTAGTTTCATTCTCAGACTCTCCCCTCCCCCCAAGGAGTTTGTTGCAGGAAGAGATTAAGTAGTTCAGGATTTAGGTCCAGACTGTTTTTGTGATAAATAGAGAAAGAATGTGAAACTCATTTACAAGCTCCATAATAAGGAAACAGGCCACACTTCTGGTAGCAGGCTGGTAGGAACCACCACACCAAAGCAAGTTTCAGTATTATAGGACTGAATCAGAGTAAGAAATCAGTGTCTGTCTGCCCATTTGTTCATCTATTCATCCCTCCATCTATTATGCATTATCCTTCCTTTTAATGGCTTTAGAAATATACTAGTCTCGATGCTTTGAAAGCTGTTGGAAGGCAGAAGTTGGGCCTTCACACTTAGGATCGAGCCCAGGTTCTTGCATGTGTTAGGAAATTCTCTACCATTGAATCTTAAAACTCTTTTTGGGTCCCTTTCAAGACTTAATAGTCTATAAGTACTTGAATTTAGAAGGCCCAAGTAATGGTAATTTTGCTCATGTAGAAAATTCTAGCAGTATCAATCCTTTTTGTCCTTTTTTGGTAACCTCAAACATTTTAATGGATAGACAATTCCTTCGAAAATGCTTTCACATGCATCACCTTTTCTTTAGTCTTGGGGGGGAGGGGAGGGATAGTGAGGAGAGGGGAACATAGAGAGAAGGGAGGGAGAGGAGAGATAGAACCATGACCTGAAGCTAAAGTCTGAAGTTACCCATGGATGAGCCCATGGGTAAAGGGCCATACTAGGTATTTTCTAGAGATTGTACATTGGTTGGGGATAGTCAGTATCTGGGAAGAACTCATGGCATAGATTACAAAATGCTTCTTTTATGTTTTACCTCCTAGAGCTTTGAAGGGCAACGGTGAGGTAAGGCGGTATCACCACTGCTCAGCACACAAAGGGGTCTGGTGACATAACTTGCATCACAAACTAGCAAGTGACAGGGTTAGAGCCACATTCTCCGTCCACACCACGATGCTGTGCACCCTGGCAGGGCTGTCTGAGAATGGTGACCGTGCCTGTGCTATGACTTGCTATCAGCTTGGTGCCCAGATCAACCACTGAAAGGCACTGAGACGACTTCAGGCTTGAGAGTGGTGGAAGAGGGCCAGACAGTAACAAATGCGAAAGAATTTTCTTGAAGAAAATTTCCAAGCACGAGGTAGTGTTTTGGTTGCCATGGGTATAACACTGAATTCTACCTTTGCTTGGCATACTTGTGTTCCCTTTCCCTTGGGAATACCAACGGAGAAAGAGACACGAGGAGGAAAACATAGGCAGCAGAGAGGCCTCAAAACCCAATTGCTGTTTGGACTAGATGGGTCCTGCCTTCAGGGAGGTTTCTTTCTAGGAGGGAGTGGGCTGAGAGACAGTCTGGGAAGAGCTGACCAGCACCTCAGACAGGCCCAGCACACATGCCGGTGATGTGTTAGCCGATTTTTAAAGCTGTTGTTAATTGTGGTCATGACACGTAGTTGGTTTTTTTTTTTTTTTTTTTTTTTTTTCAGAGACTGTCTGACTTCCCTAAAGAGCCTTGGTAGTCTTGTTTACCCTTTTTTCTCTCTTGGCTTTGCTGAGTAGAAACTGAAGTTACAAATTTTCAAGTAGGCACGGGACTCCTTGAGGTTTCTCTTCTGTATGGATGGGTCTCGAATGACAAGTGGCTTTGGAACTGTGTCCACCTCCAGGTGCTATGCTTTTGGAGCTAGAAGAGTAGACACTTATGTAGAGTTCAGGTCAAATGAAGTCCCCCGTGCAGCTGGCACAGGTACTGCTTCCTAGATCGTGGAGGGTGTGTGAAGGTTTGGTGTCAGGTAGTTCATGCTCCCAGCTGAGAATTACTGGCCCTTGGGAACCTGAACTGCCATCCATGTTGCTAGGGCCCAGGAAGGGCATGTGGGGTAGGGCAGTATTAATTGGTTGATACCTCAGCTTTAGCAGAATTTCTCCCTAAGAAGCATGACCTGTGACAGTGACTCAGGCCATCTGTCTAGTTTTGAGAAATCTGGATTGGTTTCCTTCCTCCTTCCTGTGTGGCAGCAGTGACTTCAGACCCTTTTCTTTCCAGGCCCATTTTGTAGTCTCCTCTTCAGTGGGGGTGGGTCCAGACAACCAAATTCTGTACAGTATCTCCCCCCATATAGAATATGGAGTAGGGACGGTATGATTCCTTTCTGGCCTTGTTCCTATAGAGCCTCCCAGGTGTTCTTTTGTTTGTTTGTTTGTTTGTTTTGTTTTTGTTTTATCGAGACAGGGTTTCTCTGTGTAACAGTCCTGGCTATTCTGGATCTCACTTTGCAGACAAGGCTGGCCTTGAACTCCTGCCTCTGCCTCCCAAGTGCTGGGATTAAAGGCGTGTGCCATTCTTCCCCATGTCTCTCCTAGTTTGGAGAATGTAGCCCAGGATGTAGTAGGGGACACTGAGGTTCTGGGATATGGTGTAGCCACTAGAAGAATAGACCTGAGACCATGCGTGACCCAGGGCGGCACAAAATGAAATGAACTCCTCTGTGGTCTACCCCCGAGATTTAGACTCTGTCTGGTACGGCTCAAATGATTAATAACCCTGCTAGACACTGGCCATGTTATAAGGATTTGTAGTATTTCTGCTCTTTTGTCACCCTGGGGGCTGCCTCATGGCTGTCACAGGCAGTACCTAGGACAGAGCTGTGTCTGCTAGCTCCACATAGGTTTCTTTTTCAAATCTTTGAAGGAATACTGTTTGGATCTGTCCCCAGCTGGCCTTTGGACTAGGGGTTTTGGTTGCAAGCCAGGCTGAAAATGATTCCTGAATGTTGACTTCATAGTTGCTGGCTCCCCACACAGTTCAAATGGTGGCATCTTAAGACAGGAGTGGGGAGAACAGGCAGTCCTTTATTTAGTTCTGGCAAGACTGCGGTTTATGGTGCTCTGGGGAAAGGCAGCTGTGGATATGGCAACCATTGTAAGAACCCTTGGCAGTCAAGTCTTTAAGTAAAACCTAAACACAGACAACACATCCTCCAGCAAGGCTCGTGCTGGCCACATGTGATCATGACATCCCATCTTCCACGCATGATTTCGCCTTTGCTTGTGGGATACACAATCTTTTCATCTTGTTTTCATCAGCATTTGTTTCTTAGATCATCCAGAGGCATTGTGAGTTTTGCCCACCATTAGTGAATTGCTTCAGCATTCACTGTTCTGTTTATCTTTCACTGCTGTGGGATGAATGGTTACAAGGGAGTTCCTTTTCAGAGTCTGTGGCCTCTGCTAAGAGGCTACTATTACAAGGTGGTTAAAAACTTGGACTGCGGGGTTGAGGATGTAGAGGACTTGCCTAGCGTGCAGGATGCACTGAAATCATCCCCAGTAATGCATGAAACTGGGTGTGCTCACACACATCCCTCCTGGCTGGCAGAGACAGGAGGGTCAGCAGTGCAAGAGTCACCTTTGCTTATATTGTGAACTCAATTAAGGACTTGGATACTAGAGCCCTCATACCTTGGTGCAAGCCTCATCTGGCCTTTTGCCTACAGTGTGACTACCCTAATTGTCATCTGGAAGCAGATGCAGAGATACACAGCCCAGCTGTGAGCTCCAGTTCAGCTCAGGGTTTAGCTGTGAGTGTCTGCTTGTGTTTCCATCAGCTACTAGATGAGGGCTCCATGATGGTGGATAAGTTAGTCATGGATCTCTTTATCAGGGAAGGGCATTTATGGTAGCCTTTCCACTGTTGCTCATTTTGTTAGTAAAAATGTGGAACGCTTCATGAATTTTCGTGTCATCCTTGCGCAAGGGCCATGCTAATCTCTGTATCTTCCAGTTTTAGTATATGTGCTGTCGAAGCGAGCACTGATTCCCTCTTTTCAGCCAGTACTCTTAACCGTTGAGCCTCCTCTTTAGTCCACTTTTGTACTCTTTAAGGATGCCACACACTGCCACGTACAGAGACTTCTAGAACACAGCTGCCTATTTCATACCTCTTCAAGTATCATTTTGTCTTTTTGTTTCCTTTGCTTCTTACACCTGGAGATTTTGGCAATTATAATTAGCCAGATTCTACTAGCTACCCTGATTTGGCTACCAGATTCAATAGCCAATAGGGCACACATCTTATACTAAAGATTTCTGATTTTATCTTGAGAAATGTGTTTGATATTTACTAAGAGATGAAAGGCAAGCCTATGATTGACATGGAAGGTAGTTAACCTAAATTCTTGTAGTCTCTCTGATAATTTACTCTACTCTTGTAATGAGTTAGACCAGTCTTTAAAAAAAAAAAAAAACCTCTTGGTGAAAAAAGAGAAGAAATTGGAAATAGTCTTTTTACTATTTCTGTTTCTGTCAGAAGGGAGAGCTGGTAGCTGAGGGATGAGTGCTTTCTAGGTGTCAACAAACATGTCTGATTTCTAGTGTTCACCACTGCCCTGTGAGTTAAGGGATGTGATGGTCATCGCAGTAACCACTATCAATAATGACCCATAGCTAACATTTGTTTAGCATTCAGCACATGCTGACACTGAGCTAAACAATTTCTATGAGTATTATATTCCAACCTTGTCAAACCTACAAGTGATAATAAACTACCATATTCTCCATGGCGCAGTGAGAATGCCTAGGCCAGCTCAGTGCAGCCTATCCTTTTGGTTTTTGGTGGTAACAGGAGCCATGGACATCAATACAGATCATGGCTGCAGCAGCAAGACATAGTGCCTGAGCACAAAGCACCGGGTGGGCCTGTGTTTCCTCCTCAAAGCCCAGTAGGTCACCCTGGAAAGGCATGTATGTCTCAATCTTTTATTCATTACATGCAGATTTAGAAGTATGCTTTTATATAAATTACTTTTAAGTTGGTTTTTATAATCCACACATGGGGCCTGGGAATCGATACTATTCCGGCTTTGCCCATGGAATCTTCTAGAATGTACTATAAATGGCAGGAGCAGGGCTGTGGATTGGATGCCTTCGGGTGCTGGTCCAGGTTTCCCTCAATCCTGTTATGTTCTGATGCCTCTTTCTCACAGTTCTGCCTCCTGTTTTTTTTCTGCCATCAATGTATTGGATTTCAGTAAAGCAAATACTTTTCTGATCATGTATAATAATGTGGTAGGATCTGAGCACACACATCCAAGGGAAATGACAGAGTGTCACGCCTGAGGATTTTTATCAAGAAGTGTGCATTACATCTGCAGAGGCTGTGTTGAAGGTTCTGTGAAGGGTCCCCTTTTCAGGACCCTAGCACTCAGGAGCTTGGCCCATCACCAGGCCCCCACACTGTTTCTGTGGCCCTCTGTTCAGCTCTCTCTCTGCACAAAAACCTTTAGACCACTCACTGTCAGCAAATTATTCTCTTCTCAAGAAGTTGCCTGAAGCTATTTCTTTATGTGAAGGCTTTTAGTCCATTCTTGCACAAGAAATTCAATTTACCATCAAATAAAGTTTTTTATTTTTCCTCAGAAGAGGTTGTTATTATTTCTTTGAAAGAGAGCTATCAGAGTGAACACGGGTTGGTGGAAGCAATAAAGGAAGCCATTAATATAGATTGAAAATCAGGCTGCTGTTTTGGGGTTAGCATGGCAGGGGTGGTGGGCCCCATCTCACAGGGGTGGTGGGCCCCATCTCATAGGGTGGGCTAGTTAATGTAGACACAGCAGACTGGTAGGCATAAAGGCAACTGTGGGCTGACGGGTGAAGTGGTGATCTCTGGTACCTCTCAGGGTATCAGTTCCCAAATTGGTGTCCTTATTTTTACCCCAAACTCTGAGATTTGTCAGGAGAAATAACTATGAAAGAGGGAGATGTAATAGATAAAAAATAACCTGAAGATTTGGGTCCCAATTCCGGTTGTGTGACTTTAGGAATGCTATATGATGCAGAATGAGGTAGTTGGATCAGGTCAGTGGTATCTGGCCAAAATCACCTGAGATTTTTTTTGACTTAATTGATGATTAATTGGTGCTGATTTAATTGATATGGGATTTTCCCCAGGCATCAGTATTGCTAAAGCTATCCTAGGATTCAAATGTGCAGCCTGTGTCAGATTAACTCTAAAATTCCCTCTACTTTTAACATGGTTTAAAAATATAAAAACACACGTCACAAAACCAAACCAAACAAAATATGTATCGCTGGTCTCTTACTGGGGGATTTATACATGACGTACCACCTTGTTCAGGGCCTTGCTGTAATAAAGGACACGGATAATTTTTGTCTTGGGAAACATAAAACTGTTAATAGAGAGACTGCCATTTTGTCGCTGATTTGTAAGGCTAATTCTTCAGGGAAAGCCATGAAGCATTTGTTTTCTGAGGCATCAAGGATGGAAGACAGACACACAATGACTTTAATATATCCAGAAGGGCTTATGTGCACATCTTTGTGTTTTCACTCAAAGTTTATAGCAGGTGGCCGTGTTCATAGACTAGGAGAGTAAGCACAATGATTTCTAACCCCCACTGCCCTCTATGTCCTTTTGACAGGGAGAATGCTGCATTCCAGTGACTACAAAATCATTAGCTCTGTTTTTTAGAATCCCTTTCCTTGCGGTGTAAGTTATTCTTCCTTGGGAACCAGATTCCTCTAAATTAGATTTACTTTGAAATATAATGCAGGAGGGAAGTCTAAACTTAATATAATGTTCTTTTTGCCAAGTTAAAATTATTGATTATACACAAATTAAGCTAACTTATTTTAGAGTTTATACACGGATACCAAAAGAAAAATTAATACACACGACACAAAACCCGATACTCAAGGTTTCCACACAAATGCTCTCTGCTCAAATCTTCAGTCTCTCAAATCCACGAAGGCATTGTCAGGTGACACAGAAGTGGGTCAGTCACTCCCAAGCCAAGGTCACCTTCGCTCTCCCCCTCCCACTGCACACTGGAAGCTTTGGCCACATAATCCTCTCTGGTGCAAGAAGACGTTAAATGAGGTTCTTAACGGTTGTAATCCTACTCCTGCACGCAGGATAAACTTAGACTTTGCTTTGCATTTTCCAGGCTCTGATGGACAATAGTTTTGATTGAGAAAGGTGGCTGTTAAGTGACCCATGTGCTTTAGGTAAGAGACTTACAAACTGTGTCCAACAACCAGGTTACTATCCACACTAGCTCTAATACTTTTTACCCAGAGGTGAGGGAGAAAATTGGTGTGGTGCTTAAAACTTCTATGAGATTTTAGGAAAATTTGGTGTTACTTCTTTATATACATAAAAGTGACAAATTTAATTGTCTACACAACCATGTGAAGGTAAGAAATTCAGATGTTCAAAGAGGGTACTTCCAGTGTCTACTTCTAATAGAAAATTAATTTTTAATGAAGCTAGAATAGATGCAGTGTTTTATTATTTCTTACAGATCAGCTCTTTTAATTCTCTAGCAGTGGTATAAGCAAAGGTACATACTGCTTCAAAAGCATTGGAAATGTAGATATTGTTATCAACCCTACTTGGCAGATGTGAAATGATGTCATGGTATCTGCACAAGGCCCTGGGGTTGACTCAGCCTGGTTACTGGGACCCCATTCTGAAGCTGCATTTTGTTGTATCTTATCATAAAACACATTGAACTTCAACTCAGGAAAGTTTCTACTTGTCTTGTTACATAACTAGGCTGCTATGCAAATGTAAGACTTCGATCTAAGGTTTGGCAGAATCAGTCTTAGGAACTGCCTCCTATCTGACCCATTGATAACAGCTCAGAAGCCACTGATTCATAACACAGATAGAAATGCCTTTGTCTCAATGCACCCACCACTTTTGGGTGATTGCTTATGTATCTGTGGAAATGTGTATTTATTTATATATATTTATTTTTATTTAATTTTGGGGGCATTAAAGTCTATTTATTGTATTTTACTCATCTGTCACTATAACAGAATATTCAAGCTAATTACCTTATAAAGAGAGAGGTTTGACCCACAGTTCTGTAGGTTCTAATCCATGATTGGCTGGCCCCGTTGTTCTGGGGGCTGCAGAGAGAGTACATCATAGTGGGAGCACATGAGAAGGAGGAATGGACTGGAGTCCCACAATTCCATTTGAGGGCACCTCCCACAAAGACCTAATGACCTCCGTCTAGGCCATGTCCCTTAAAGGGTTAAAGGCATGTGGAACTTAATACTATTTGAATAGAAACATATAGCAAGGAAGCCACATAAGCAGCAAGGGAATTGAGGCCTGCCACCAGAATGGATGGCACTGTGGCGGTCGGCTTTGCACCTACAGGTCCAGAGAGTGAGTTCTCTCATTGTTCCATACGTCTTACACAGTGACTCGAGAGTAACTTCTGTTGCCCACACTTCTCTGCTGACACGAGGAAGTGATCTGAGAACATTCCTCAGTTGAAGGCTTGGGGTTTGGCATTGCCTGGAAGATCAGTGCATGGAGCTGCTTTCCGAAACTTGTTAGAGGGGACCTCTTGGGTGCAGTGCCCGCTGTCAGCGCTTGCTTCCTTCTTTCCATGTACTTAGAGGCTGTCCCTGCCTCATGAGATGGGCCTGCAGCACCTCCCTCCCTCCCTCCCTCCCCTTCCTTTCTTTCTCCCCCCACCTCTCTCTTCTGTTTTTTTTTTTTTTTTCAGACAGCATTTTTCTGTGTAGCTCTGACTCACAGAGATCCACCTGCCTCTGCCTCCTGAGTGCTGGTATTAAAGGCATGCACCACCACCACTTGAAAGTCCTACAGGGGCTGTGAGAGCCAAATGTGTCCACATTTTATTTATTGTTTGGTTTTGCAGCAGTGTTCTGATTTCCTCTGAAGAATGTCTTCAGGTGGGAGACAAGGCAGACCTTGCTTTGTGCACAGGCTTTTTCTCCTCCTTCAGACATTAGAGTTCAGAGTGACTCGTA